TCTGACCTCAGGAAATCACATGATAGGGTGGTACCAGGTTTCACAATGAGCTCACCCGAAACCTTGGCTGATTGTGACCAACACCTGTTTTCACACCTTGGCTCAGGCGATTAGGTAGAGGATCATTAGGGGGTCCATTGTCCCTCATGGGGGGGACACTCACACAGGGCTTAAATCTGGGACCATTTGACCCTAGAACGGAAGAAGCTTCTCAGATGAGAGGTGAAACATATTCAAGAAACTTAAAGAAGTCCAGACACTTTTCTTTCTAAGCTCCTTAGACTACGATGACCTGGATGACTGAGAACATTCACAGACAAGAGTAATAGTGTTTAACCTGTTGGATTGTTTCATTTCCTGTAAGTCATTTGAATGCCAAGAATTTAGCTGATGTATTGCCTCGGGTGAATGTGAAATGTCATTTTCTTTTTCTTATATGAGAGTCTTTCCAGCTCCGTGACAATACAGTTCTTTCTTTTTTACTGTCACCATGTCTTGTGCACCTTCTGATTTTCACGTAAAGATCACAAAAATATTTTTTAACAAAAATATAGTATTGGGAATCAAAACTCATATCATGTTATCATGTATTTATAATGTGTGATCCAAATGCTAATTTCTTGTTTTTAAGTAATAAAGCATTATTTTTCAGAGCTCCAAAATCACAAATATGTTTGTGTTCATGGCATGCTGTTTCTCAGCATCCATGCTTTATGTGTTAAAAAACAAAACAAAAACTGTCGCGTGTAGGTCACATGACCTGGGACAAAGAATAAAAGTGCTGTTGCCTGAACAGTCACAGGACATCCTCAGATGATACCCTCACCATCTCCATCTCTTGACACATTCACTGCTGAGGTTTAAACAGGTAATCTGATGTTTTTTATTTAAAAAATATTTAACACATATTTTAAATCAAATCAAAGAATGAATCTTATATTATTTACAGTAAACTTATGAATGATCCTGCTGATTTTTTGCCACCTCAGGCTGAACAAATTAATTTAATAAATTTATCTAAATTACTGATTGTGTGTGAAGTATGCTAACATAACTAGCAGAAACACATTAAATGTTGGTACTACGCAACCAATGCCAAACATCATTTTGATTTGTTAGCACAGGTAAATAAATATAAATATAAATAAATATCACAAATGTAGCTTTTTGAGCTGTTGATCTAATGAAACAAGCCTTTCAATGGAATGATGGACCCTTTCAACATGGAATGCAGTATTCTGAGTATATATAAGATAAGATAAGATAAGATAAGATAAGATAAGATAAGATAAGATAA